GATTGATTACTGACAGCCTGGGAGTCTGCCGTCCTCTAGTGGAAGACTGTGAGTGCTGCACACAGCCAGAAATAAATCTTTGGTGTTGGTGAAATTCATTCGTGCAGATGAGAAATATACATATATCTACTTGTTGCTAAAGCCCTCTCCACATAGTAATTAAATGATACAGCAGGGCCTTGCACAGGTCCTTATACCAAAGAAACATTCACCCTCTGTCTTCAGGTTTTTGAATACTGTACCAAGTGTTAGAACCCCTGCTCAGGTGAGGGAAAGGCTGAAAACACAATGGTGAGATCTGTAGACCTACTTGCATCAGTATTTAACATGACTGATGTTCCCCTTTAGTTGCTTTTGTATTATAAACTTTGTGTTCAGAGGAGTAGAGCAGAGGTGAGATCCTCAACTGAACCTTGGGTGCACAGTGCTATGAGGAAAACTTTTAAGGTTTAGGTATGTGTGTGGATAAATATAGATGATGCATTTTGTTCCTTTTGTGAAGGGGAAAGAAGATGCTCTTCAGGTGTGGTAACAAGGCTGATTCTTACCATTAGAATACTTGGTGCTCTACTCTGATGTCCTAATATATTAGGTGCTACATAAAGGTTTCAAAATTAATTTCTTTGTGGGCATTTGTATCACTGTTATCCTCAGCTGAAATTAAAATGTAGTTCTGCTGTGACTTCTGAAAGACGTGTTGTAGTAACTCTCCTATATTTTTAATGGGCACAATAAAAGCAGCCACACTTCTTGCAAATGGTAGCCAAGCAAGGTTGTAATCTTTAAGCTATATTTCAGTTTCAAGCTTAGTTATGATCTGGAGAACCCAGAGTAGCTCTGTCCTGCTACAGAATCACTAGCTTGCTTTCCACCCCACCTTGCCACTGAAGCTTCCCCCACCCCCAGTTAACTTTTAAAAGGTTCTGCTTCCTGGTAGCCTTACAAGAGACAAATGCCGGATATGAGGACACAGAGGCCTAGAGCTCAAAGATAGATTTAGACATCTAACTCCCATTGGAGTCACTGGGAGGTGAGCTCCTAAGTAGGAGTTAAACATCTAAATACCTTTGAGGATCTGGGCTTTTCTGTGTTAAGGTGGGTACCTGAGTTTTGATAAGTGTAGCTTTGGCCTAAGATAGGGTATCGGTACTCTGAAAGGGCATTTTAGTTGGTTTGGACTATTATATGCATCTTGGACTGTGTAACCTCTCCCTGAGCTTGTGCAACTTCTCCTGGAATAGTGGCAAACACAGTTGTCTTCCAGTGATCTGTTTGTCCCTCACATGTTCCTTTTCTTTGTCCTTTGGTACAGTGAGGCTTGCTTGGCTTACATGGTACAGGTAGTTTTCATGGGAGTCAAACTCTTCCAGGTCCCTCTAAAGCTTGTGCAATGTAAACAATTCTTTAATCCTATCTGACTGATGTATATCTGGACCTGAGTTGCATTGCACTCCTCCCAACAAGGCTGAGATTGGGGTGAGGGTGTGTGTGTGCTTTGCTTCACATCTTTAGTAGGCTCTGTATGAGAGTGACCCTATTTATTCAAATGTGCCAGTTAGTGTTGTGCTCACAGGGCGGAGGGTAGTTGTACATGTAGCAGGCAAAGCACTGAAAGAGTTGGGCCCACCAGGCAATTGCAACAGCATGTTTCTTCCCCCAGTAGGCATGCTAGGGGAAGGAAGCACTTGTCTTTCTCTGAACCCTTGTGATGCTTATTACTATCTTCACTTGCATCTATGATGACCCTGAATGTAAGCCCCCCCCGTAATTAGATTCTGTACATGGAGAATGTATATACTTGTTATAATATTCCAGGGGTATAGTTTGTAGCCATGTCAGTGTAAGGACATAGGTAGACGAGGTTCTTTGGGTAAATCTGATATCTTTTATTAAACCGACTCAAATAATTATTGGGGGTTTATCTGTTAATTCATCCCCCTCCACTGCTGCAGGGGGTCAGGTAGTATGGGGACAGGTGGGGAATTCGAGCAGCTTGTCCCCCTGCTTGTGCCTGCCACCTGCCTCCTCTCTCCCCCACCCCCGCCCAGGCTTGGACATCCCCTGCTCCTTCCCTCTGCCTCTGCTCCCCTTCCTCCCCCAGCCTCTGGTCCTTCCCTTCTCCTTCCTTCCCCACCCTTAACCTTGCTGGCAGGCTCCACCCCTGTTCAAGCCTGGGGAACTGAGCACAGCTCCATCTCTGCCTAGGTAGCAGCCTTGCAGGCTGCCCACCACTACTATGGGGCTGTGCTCAAGGCCCCAGAGCTTGCTGGGACGGAGCAAGCCTAGGGGTGGAGGGTGGGAGAGGGGCAGGTGAGGGGAACAGAGGCTCTATGTATCAGGGGAGGGATGGGGAGAAGAGCCTGGTTGCAGAGATGGAGGGGAGGTGGGGAGGGAGGGCAGGCAACCTGGGGTCAGGACTGTGAGCTAGAGCCACAGCTGCAGCAGCCACACCACTACCCTCATTCGCAGTTCTAGGACGAGGGGCTTTTTTTCCCATGTAAAATGCAGGAGGGAGGGGGCAGGATCTCTGTCTAGAATGGAGTAAGTGCAGTAATCATTGCTTATTTGGAGTTTATTACTGCTGCCTAGGCTATGGTCTGTGGGAAGCACCTCTCCCTTTCTCCAGAGGCTCCTGCTATTGTCTAACGGCAAAGGACTGGAGTCAGCTTTTATTGCAAATTGTGGTTTTGTTTTTGCTTTCTCTTGGCAAGAAGTACAGATGAGGGTGCAAATTGAGGGGGAGCTCGGGGAGGGGCTGAGCCCCTTCATAGGAGTCGAGAGCCCCTCTGTAAGATTTGAAAAATGTCACTGGGGCAGGGGGCGGTCTCCGGTAGAATTAACAAGGTGGACTTGTTAATCAGTGAACCAGTTTAATTTTTTTTCCAGACCCTCCCAAGAATCAAAGTGTAATTCAAACCCTGGTGCAGATCCTGACTTAATACATGTTTCTGCTTTTATTTAGCTTATAGCTTAAGGGAAGCTTATACCTCAGTGATGAATTTCAGTGTTTTTTTTTTCCTTTCTTGTTAGTTCCTGCTAATTTTCCATAAGGCTGCAGCTGGAGAGCTTGAAGAAGACAGTGGGCTATTGACACTGGCAAAACTCTCAGAGATAGATGTCTCAACAGAAGGAGTTAAAGGAGCCAAGAACTTCTTTGAAGCTAAGGTATGGTGTGGTGATGAGGAAACTGAAAAAACTTGCTATGCAGTTCTTAGTCATTTCTTAAGTGTATTCTGGAAACTTCTGGGCACTGGAGAGTAGGTCAGCGTCACCAAGTGACTAAATATGAAGGTTCACCAATGTGAGAAGCTACAACTCTCTTT